ACATACATCATCAAAAACTAAACCTTGTAAACAGTCCATGTTTTCAACTTAAATTTGTAAAAGTCACACTGTTCAGTCGGCATCAGTTGCAGCTGAAACATTTTTAGTATGATTATGATACTGATGTACGATTAGTTCCCGTCTTTTCTCTCATATCTATGTAAATATCCTGGTGAACAATACTAAATTTTGTAAAGTCAGGGTAATAATGACAGTTATATGAATACAGGTTTAATGTCTTTGGTTATACATTTATGAGAGTTTATAGTTGCAGTGCAGGTGGAACCACTTGTGTCCTATGGATATATTTTAATGTCTTTTACTGAAAATCAATTTCTGACAACTTTTACCCATATTAAGGAAAGTATATTGCTTAATTACTGTATCACCAAAGCAGGGACAAACTCCCAAAATTTTCTATTGATTTGAATTTTTCTTTTTTAAATTTTAACCAGGTTGCAGAAAAGTTGTATATACACAGAATTATAATTTCATTGAAATGGCAAACTATCAGTTATAGTTTGATAAGTTGAGTACATCATGTGCAATTATGAGTCATACATAGCTTGAGATAATGTTGGTAACTGATCTTCAATAAAGAAATTTCCCCAAGAGTGGATCTATTATCGGCCCACTTGCAGAATCATAATCAAACAAACATAGGTACTTTGGTCCCTCATTATGAAGAACCTCAGTATAATGTGCCTTTGATGTCACATGGTCTGCTTATAACATGGTTCCTGATATAACACCGGTATTGTTGTGGATCCTGTGATACAGTTTTAATGAAATTGTTGATAAACTCCAGTATAAAGTGACCTCAACCAGAGTATGGTTCTCAATAATGGTCCTCTAAATGCATTATGATGAGGGATGAGTGACAGATCCAGCAGTGATAGAAGCACTTTTAGATATGGGTTGATGTATACATCCATGATTAATTGTAGATGAGGCACTGGGTTCTACAGTTGATTATTGACAGGTATTGTTTGATGGGTAATATTATTCAGCTGCATGCTAGACCATAGATCAGACTTATGCCTGATGTTGCTGTTGAATTCAGTGATGTATCACAAAATAAGAAATAAATGATATTAATTTCATTTTTGTTTTGATATTTTTTAATACAAGCATTCAGTAGAAAGTCTCCTGTTTATTATAAAAAGTAATATGTGCATGATTATTGTATAAGTGTTGCTTCATTTCCGATATATGCTTGTTCGTAGAAGCATCGACATTCATGCATCTGTCACTGAAAAGTGAACTTGGACAATAAAACAAAACAAAACATTCTGACTGACAAAGCAAATATATTTTTGGGGTGGGGATAAAACTAATTTTAATTGCATAATACTTACCAGCTACTATGCCACTGAATACCTTTTCCAAAATGCCAGGTCCTTAGTCCAAGCTACATATTCCCTCTTCCAATTAATAATTGTGGTCTTAGAATTTAAAAGAACATGATCCCAGGCTGATGCCATTTTGATAATCTACATATGGAATAATTTCCTCATTTGACTTGGACTGAGCTACAGGATATCAGAGTGTGGTGAGAGGTGGGAATAATTACAGTAGTAGCAGATAATACATAGTTAAAATTAGTTTACCCCCACACACCAAAAAAACATTTTAATAGCAATAATACAATACCTTCTATTGCATTGCTGAATTTACCAGGTAGGAGGGAGGGAGGCTGATGGCCTCAAACCTAACTGGTGCAAGAAAAATGCACTGTACCATTGTAAGCTGGCAGATGGTTTTGCTACAGTGTGCTGTCATAGTTGGATGCAAGGAATAATTGCCTTCTCCTTGGTGCACAACAAAACCATGGTTAAAGGATGAAAAAGTAGAGTGAGATTGCCAGGTGACTCGCATGACATCGTCCAAAGACTGATTCAAGTATATCAAGGATGCAGCAATATCATTAACCTGGGCTTAAATTCTCATGAAAGATCTTTTGGGTTGTTAAATTGAAGCATAGTCATCCTCTTTCAGATATGGATATTATTCTTCCTTCACACAGATGCAAAGGAAATGAACTTCACTTAAATGTTGATATAGAGGTTTAGATGATTCCTAAATATGTATGAGACAGTCCATATTGACAATATAGCAAAAATGATCTCTGAAGTTCAAAATACCTGATGGGATCTGAATGGTTAGGATCTACTCCAATGTTGCAACCCATAGATTCAATGTTGCAACCCATAGATTAGTTAGGAGTGCTAGAAAGGGCTGCCATTGACAGTCGGACTCTTTATGATAATTTGATGGGCTTTTTTGCCAATTGGTAGAATAGATTTTTGAACCATAGCCTGGGAAGGAGATTTAGACAAAGAAACAGAGATCCCCCGATTTAGTGGTGGAGAACCAGTGGAATGATTGAAATGTATGTATATGTATACCAAATTATTCCACTTAGGTCAGAAAGAGACCACCACCAAGGTTTTAAGCTTCTGGAGAGACAAGTTGACTACTGGCCTTCATCACAGTGCAAAAGTGACTATGCTACTAATCTTTCTTATTCAGTGAAAACACAGAATGGACAGGATGTACATTTCTATTGCCTGAAAAGTGGCAGACTATGAGAATGATCTTTTATATAACAGAGAAGGTTGTAGAAAACCATGCAAAGAGGAGATAGGGTACCCATCAATGCCCAAGGTATGCTATCACCAATTTGTGCTGTCCAAGGCAATACACATTTAAGGTTTGGAGCATATTTCAAGGTTATTGATGTGAATGGTTCCTTCTTCCCAAGACCAGTTCCTGAAGAACTACCACATTTGGATCCAGGTGAGCACCCCAGCCCAAATCTGATCCATGTACAGAAAGGATTGGGCAGTGAAACAGGACTCTGATCAGTTACTAGTCCTGCTCTAACCACTAGCTCCTTTGATTGTTGAGAATTCAACCCCATATACACAAAGAATTGGGAAAATATAAGATCTACTTTTCTAAGTTAGTGAAGAAAATTTCATATATGATGTGATGCGAATATGATTTTTAACATAGCTTTAAACAATTTCAGTCATATCGCTACGCTGTCTGCAGTGTGCAGTCACTGTGGCAGTTTATAGTGATGTCTAGCACTGGGGCATCATGCTGCAGACATGTAGCATGATGTCCCACCCAGTCACATTATCCTGACTTCACCTGCTTCTAATATGGTCAATAAAGGCAACCTGCACACCACTTTGAAACTCGTTCACAATATAATAGCTAAGTCTTCAACGTTATCTCTGGCTTGTTTTTTTTTTTAGGCTTGCAGACAAGGCCAACAATGCACATGCCTGGAAGTCAACCCTTTTAAATATTAAAGACAATGCACAGAATGGCCCATCGTGCAATGATACATTTTTTGATGGCTTCCGCTAACATTGATTTTTGCGACAGGACTCATGCTATGCTTAATTTTGCTCAAACCACATTATGCCCTCACTATGAGAAACTCTACTTTTTGAATGTCTTTATTGTTCGGTGGCAAGATAGAGAAAGTGTGGAGGAAGGTGGACCAAGAAATGCCTGTTCATCTTTCTGCATAGCATCCATCAACATATACATTATGTTATTAGATAAGAAGAATCTGGATCATTTGCTGTACCAAGCTGCTCATCAGTTTTAGAGGCAGTCGTATCTAAGGGATAGAAACAAAGTTTCTCTACCCCCCCTTCCCATACCCACCTTGGCTCTATCGCCCATGACTTATGTCCCCAGCTGCCAGTAGACAACCATACTGTAGTCATCCAGCTTTTGTTGTTTTTCTATCAAAAAAAAAAACATTGCATCGATCTCTTTTCGCAATGTCTTTTTCTGGGTATGGAAGTTCCCAAAGTTTGCATACTGATAAAATTATGAAGTTTTGCGCTCTTTCCTGGTTTAAACATAAGTTCATGGGCCTTTATGAAACTACTCCGCTGTATTGTATCCTGTTACTGTTCATCTATTTCCATGTCAAAGGAAAGAACGACCTCATTTCCCTTTTTCATCACCCAGGTTTTCTAATCAATTGTCCATCCCATAAATTTGTCCAAGATGGTATGGACTTTCTCACCCTCCTCAACCTGGCATGTCTTCCTCACCTTTGGGTGGTCTGAATCATCGTCCCTCCAGAATCCATTTCCAAAACATAATGGATCCCAACCAAGGACTTTCTGTAACACCTCAGATTATTCAATGTATAAGTGGATATTATCACACTGGTTTGCTCTAAATGCGCCTTTGCTTTTCAAAGGCATCTCTCTTCTATGTCACTCGAGTACATGATCATTGTAATGAATGAGATAGTATTATTTCTGTACTAGCTACGCAACCAAAGTGGCTTCACAACAGGAATAATCCTCGATCAGCCACATACAATGTGTCCATGTGTACAAACATAAACACCTGTATTTGAGGAATCTGTCTATTATCTGTCTTCAACACTATCAATGAGCAGTGTGGTACAGAGAATACACATTAATTTCTTGGAGATTAAAGTTATCATCACTGTCTATCATCTTTGGAGCAACCATCATTAGAACAAGATGTTGCTCATCATGTCAAACGAATAAGGCTGTCATGACGTACCTCCTCAAACTGGACAGTAGCAAATCCACAATTGCAACACCGACATACATAAAAGACATATTTCTGGCAGACGCTGTGTATATGCTAATTCTCGGTCAAGGAGAAAACAGATATCCATTCAGAATGGTCCCTCCGTATGTCAGTCTTTCATCAGATTTGGCTGCTAAGGGAGGAGGTTTCAATTGATTTTTATACATGTTCACTTTGGCATGCAGAGTCTGCGAATAATATGCTCTTTCTGGTGACCTAGTATACCTTCAATTTTGATCTGAAGACTAAAAGGTCCTTATTACACAACCCAGTTCCATAACCAAAAGGTTATCAGTGGGCAAAGTCATCATACATCCTCTCTCCTATATTGACATAACCCAAGACTTTATATGAAGCTGACTGAGTTAATTTGTGAGCTCAAATACACCCCATTCACCTCTCCTGTGGCCTAGTGGTTAGAGCGCCAGCCTCAGATGCAGGAGGTCATGGGTTCAATCCCCGGTCGAGTCATACCAAAGATTTACAAAAATGGTACTAACAGCTTCCTCACTTGGTGCTCAGCATTAAGAGGTTAGTGTTAGGACTGGTCGGCTTGGTGTCAGGATAATGTGACTGGGTTGGAATCATGCTACTTGATGATGCCCCAGTGTTAAACTTTACTATAAACTGCCACACTGCAGACATCGTAGCAATATGACTGAAAAATTTTTAAAGCTACGTTAAAAATCATAATCATATCACATCACACCTCTTCAAGTTAAATCTGGGAAGGAGGAAATAAGCCCTCTCACTGTGGTTAAAATGGGTAAGAACAGAGTCACCCCATGAAGATTTCTGCTCATGAGATAAAAGCATTCTCTGTGAGCCTTGCTTTGATGGTGCTGTCTCTATCAAAGATATTAGACCTCTGGTGGCATGCATAGTCAAGTTTCTAAAGTTTTATCTACAAGATCTGGCTCCACAATGACAAACTTTGGATCTGGTAGATGCAGTCTCAGTTGTACATTGATACCAGACCCAACATACATCAGCACATGCTTTGGACAGCCCAGCTTTCTCTGGATTCACATGGAAATTTTATGCAACAAGATCTCTCATTATTTCTTCTTTCATGGCTTAAACATATTACCTCCAGTTGTACTGTTTGCAAGTCAGGAGAGTATGTTAACCTTCATGTGGTGAATTCAAAGTTGTTACCTCCTAGGTTAAACAATGAATAAGTAGGATGTTCAGTTTCCCTCTATCTATTACCTATTGTCCTAATATTAATGTGATTGGGGATGGTATTCAAATGAGAAAGCAAATTTTTCAGAAAAATTATGTTTCTCCTTCAATACTTTCCTGATCACATTTACTTTAATATCCTCCAATCAATGCAAGCATCCCATTACATGATGTTCCACTCTGCTTAGAACTTGCACCACCCGTGGGTGGCAAGGGGAGTAAAATAGGCAAGAGTTACTGCCCTTTGTCTACATAATATAGGCAGAAAATAAAAAAATTTAATTTTTGGAAGAGCTGGATTTGGGAGTTAACAGGGCTTATATTTCTAATGTTAATGTTATCATTTAAGGAGAAACATAATTTATTTAAACTTTTGCCTTCAAAATTGGAGTATTATAAGATCCTGCTTCCATATTTCCCTATACTGGTGTTGTACCCTACGCTACATTTTAAGATGGAGTCATGGATTCAAGATGTAGACAATTTTTTATCTTTATTCCTTCCAATTTTTGATCTAATTATCTAATTTACCTGATTGTCTAATTAACTTCATATCTGGGATTTGATATGATCCAATACTTCTTTTCTCCAAAAACCACTGCTTTTTCCTGGGTTATGTCCCTGGTTACAGCCCTTGGAGTCAAGAGGCATGACACTTTTTGATTTTATATTTCATCAATACAAATAAAGTTACACCCAAATAAATGCATATTTAGAATATAACATCATCACAAACTTAATTACTTTCAACATTGTACTGCTCCTGTTTATGGGTTATATTCTTCAATGAGCTCTTAACCTATATTTAAATTGCTGTTTATCCAATTTACATTGTATTTGGAATATTAAAACTTCTATTTCCTTACTCCCTGTAAAATTTCTGCCCTTTGGTAAGGTCCTGGCTCATGGTGTTATGCCATTAGATATATTGACAGTTTATCTCCGGGCATACTATGTTTCTTGCAATAAATTTCATGTTGATTTTCATAATTAAAAAGATACCAGTCTTATAAAAGGGAGTTCATCATCATGCAGTATTGAACAAATCTGTACAAGTATTCATTCAATTATGAACATTAGTTTTACAGCATAATCTTGTCTTTGACATTACATCCTCACTTTGTTGGTATTCTGTAGTTACCTAGTTGTGTCCATCCAAATGTTCTTCAGTCAGTTTTTACTGCAACCTGAACTTAGTCTACAGTGAATGGGAGAAGTCTACAGTGAATGGGAGAAGTCTACAGTGAATGGGAGAAGTCTACAGTGAATGGGAGAAGGATCATATTTTATGCACATCTGGATCATGCAGTTCCAAACCTAGTTCAAGCTTTCTCCATGTTACTGCATTCTCAATCATTATCTGTCTATATATGTATGTATGTATGTATGTATGTATGTATGTATGTATGTATGTATGTATGTATGTATGTATGTATGTATGTATGTATGTATGTATGTATGTATGTATGTATGTATGTATGTATGTATGTATGTATGTATGTATGTATGTATGTATGTATGTATGTATGTATGTATGTATGTATGTATGTATGTATGTATGTATGTATGTATGTATGTATGTATGTATGTATGTATGTAATACCCATTTTCCTATGGTGCATGTATTAAGTATCAGCTTATGTTTGTTATCATAGCAATCCTCAGGATCAGACTTATCAAGTTTGGGTTATTAGTGTCCTTATGTACCTTGTATCACCCCTTTACAGCTCCAAATACAGGTGTTGGATACCTACAGGTGTTGGATACCAGGTCTCTCTTCCTGAGGTATTCCAATAGAAAAGATTAAGATCTTGGCTGGTGTTGTGATGGCCCCCATTATGCCAAAGATTATTTAATATGTACAATAAAATTTCTATTGAACCTATGTATTGTGTTATTTAAATGGTAAGATATTTAACAAGGATGAATAGATCCAGATGGGGTGAGGGAACTGGATGCATGTGTGTATTGGCTAAAACATTTAAGACCGTTAATACTAACTGAGTGAGGATGATCGTAGTTTGCTTTAATGTATGAAAAAGATGAGTATCAGTCAATAAATATTTGATATGACACAGAGGAAGTGAGGTTTAGAGTGAAAGTCACATTTTCTTTGGTAGTAAATGGTAATGACATCTGTTATGCCTTTTCATCTCTAATTATTATTTAAAAAAATGAGACAGTAATGTGTTACAATTCTTTATGTTAATGAAATAATAAAAGACATATATCTATAAAATTCTTTTTGTAAAAGGACAGCTAATGATGAATACATTTAAAATACAAGAACCAACACCGGTAAAATAGAAACATTAGAAGAAAAAATGCACATAATATTTGAAAATAAACACAATGACAAGAATCCCTGGAAAGGGCTCATGCTCTACCGAGTGAAAAGAATGTTTATCATATGATTTCTTCCTTTTAACAGCTGGTGTTGAAAACACCTAAGATATTCTTCAGCAATAACAATATAAGATTTCCAAATTAGCTGCTGTGATAGAAATATTGGCTGTAAGATTTAGTGCTATTTACATTGAAGACAAAGAAGACATCATAAGTCCTTTTTAAAATCCATGTCATAATGATCATCCATTAGGGGGGAAGTAATGACAAAATTGTCAAGACAGCCATCATAACAGCAATACTGACTGGCACCATTTTAATTTAGGACAAACCAAGTATCATAACAAGCATAATGGAGAAAACCCCATGCTGATAAAGCCATCCATTTGGAATAGATAAAATATTTTCAAGACAGTCTACATGGTAGCCATATTGAGGGGTATTCATTTTCATTTAATACCAAGAACTGTTCTAATGAAAAGCCATTGTAAAATTGACCTTCCCTTAGAGGGGAATAAATAAAACAAGATTTTCATGATGACCACATATTGATCATCACCATTTTAATTTAAAATCAACAAAATATTAAAAGAAGTCTTTTAATGAGAAATCTTTTAATGAAAATCACACGATATGATATTAACCATTCATTTAGGTGGCACTCACCAGTTATTATGTACTTTTGAGAGAGTGCTGTATGTAAGGTGAAGTTGTTTGCATTTTAAACATGCACAGTGCAGAGAATGTTGGCATAACTATATACTACTTTCATGTAATGTGGATGAAATTTCTTTGGATATTGTTCTTTTGGAAATTTCAAATGATCTTGGGACACTGCTAACTAAAATGACTGCTCCCTTGTGCTCCAAAAATCAACCTAAATTTGTCTAAAGTACACTATTCTTGGCAGCTATTAAAATATGGAAAATGAATTTTGCCAAACTAGATAATACCAGCTTCTAAAAGTGCAATGACTGAATTACCAAATACATAAAATGTAAAAAAAGTTATCGGCTCTTTTTTTTTACAATTTACCTCTGAAGTTCGAGAAGTGAAAATGAGCAAGTAGAGCTAGCACGTTTTTGAAAGGTGCACATCTGGAGTAAGGCCAAGCTGTATATTCTCTAACCCATATTACACCCATCAATCATACATCAAAATAAAGGGAATGAAAGGTTTTTTGAACAACACCTAAGATATACAAAGTCTCTTTTAAATAACCAGTATAACTAGTGAGGCAACCCGGGGAAACTCTTTTTCTTTAAAATTTTAACCCTATGCTAAATACGAAACTGTAGAGCGCCACCTAAGGAGAAGTAGTGATAATAAGCTGACAGCCACTGTGTGGCAGCCATATTGGATGTCAGATTGTACCATGTTCATTAAAGACCAAATAATAAGTCTTCTGGTGAAAACACCATATCATCATAACTTTCTGTTCAGGAGGAGATGTGTTAAGAAGATTTTCAAGATGGCTGCCATGACTGGATTCCAGATCAGCACCATTATTATTTTGGACAAACTACTCATCATAAGAGGTCTTCTAATGAAAACCCCATGCAACATGACCATCCCTTCAGGAATATTAGCAACAGCACAATCCTGAAGATGGCAGCAATGGTGATCATACTGTATTTCAGATCAAAACTATTTTCATTTACCTTCAACTAGACATCTTAAAAGTCTTTTAGTGAAAATTCTGTGTTGATCTGACCATCAATTCAAAAGTAGAAGTTCTAACAAGATTTCAATCTGACCATCAATTCAAAAGTAGAAGTTCTAACAAGATTTCAATCTGACCATCAATTCAAAAGTAAAAGTGACAACAAGATTTTAATCTGACCATCAATTCAAAAGTAGAAGTGACAACAAGATTTTAAAGTTGTGTGAGGTTGCACCATTTTTACAAAGGGCCAACATATAATGAAGGGGTGTGTAAAG